AAAAAGGAATATAGATCATTTTAACCGGATCACCAGATCAATAATTCACAAACATTCACAGCGATCGGGATCGATCAATAAACTACCCAAATCCTAGTCTAAAGAATCCTACCATGTAATCCTGCTTAATTCATATCGATAGAAACCTCGAATAAATCATTTCAGTGTGCGTTTCTGGGTATAAATTAGTTTTAATTCTTTTTGCTACTCAAGTTTGATAAAATNCGCAGCATTTATACTAAGATGTTACATGAAAGATGTTGTACATAATTGTAGAACGGGTGTTGGTCCAACCACCCTGAAAAACGAAACTTACCAATAACTGTTCAATGGGAGATTAGTACTATCTGGTGAGCAAGGATGTTTATTGCTTGGTGAAGGAGTTGTCGTGCCAAAGGTATGTCAACTCCTGGAATCATTCACAAAGGCAAGCGCTCCAAGTTACGCATGCTGCCCATTTATGGATCACAAAATCGAACGCACCGATACTAGTCAAGGTTGTTCAATGGCAGATGAACTATCACCTAAGGCCGAACCTCAATCACAGTAGTCTCCGGTAGTGGTTCCCTGGCCTCGTATTCATGTTGATTACATTGGTCGTATTTCCCTTGGTTGTATTTCCCTTTCAAGGTGGATGCATATTCCACGTGGACTAAGGTTCTCCAACTGGCTGTTGTAAAAAATAACCGTCGAAATGACCAATTTTAATAGTTATTTGTTCAGTTTGGCACATCGGAAATTGAGATAACAGCTCACAGCTTACGTCTCTATAATTTGTGGTGTTCTCTGCATCAAGTGATATTAGCTAATCCTATCGCCTAAGATACCACAAGTACAAGTTCTTTTTCGCTAATCAGGTCACAAACGGAGAGAAAACCAAAACGGTCAATTTATGTTTTTTCCTCACGTATCGCTCAACCCGCAACACAGCTAACCCGGGACATCAGTCTTCAGATCGACGATTGAGGCTAGCCCTCGATTCCAATGGCTCAAGATATTGCTGGACCACAAACCCCTATATACACCGACTTCAGAGTGAGAAGAATTAGGGTAGTATTCGGAATAGAAATCGGAATCGAATAGCGCGAACTCGGATTCGGACTGAAAGCCTACTTAATAGCGCAAAGTCAGGTAGAACCAAGACGAGCTGTGAATGCAGTTAATTCTTTTAGGAAAATCACCAAAATAAATATCACATACATCCAACAATCATTAGTCGATTATTCAATGTCCAGTCGACAACGATATGGTTCATTGTGTTGCCTTCTCGCATTCAGCCAATCCGGTTTGTGCTACTTGAGACCACAAGATTGGTCGATAAATCCGTTTCCTGATTGGCTACCTGGAAGTTGTACTGTGGTGCGTGCGTTCTCGTTGCACGATCACCACAGCAAGGCGTTACGTTTATGCACGTCATTTTTGCAGCTGGCTGGATTCAAAGAGAGACTGCAAACTGAGATGAAACAGCTACTTGTAAAGTTAAATAGGGAAGTTTTGTATGAACCAGGTGTGTTAACCACCTTAGATCTAGAAGCTTGCTCAACTCAACTGAACTGAACGTCCCCTGATTGTATTGATGGATCGGTGAAAAGTCAACACAGTCCTGGCAGACACCAGAATCCCTGTTTATGCACCTGGTCAACTCGATCAGTGACACCCGGACTGGACTCAAACTTCAATGTGTTGACTGATTATCCACCACAATGGTCGAAATAATGAGATTTTTTAATGCTAGTTCTAAGGAATCTTTTTGAACAAAATAATTTCACTTCACTTACAGATCAGCTGGAAATGATTCGCGTGGATGACCGCAGTTCACTTTTGTTGGATAGCATGTGACTAATTTTCTATCCAAACAGCGAGTATTGGTCTACCTAACGTTTTATCTTTCTATACTTCGTGTTTCACTTAGAAATTGATTTGACAGAATTGCGGTCAAACTATTCTAGTTCAGTAGCTTGTGTTCCTTCAGACCGATATCATTCAACCGGGGGGCGGGTTTCAAATATAACAATACTGTGAGTAAAATTTGATCCATTGTTCGGGTAGAGCACCTTAAAAAACGTCCTACTTCCTTTCGAGGTGCTTCTATGATCCAGATTCAGGACAATGATCAACTGTCGACGGTGACCCCATCAGGTGCTGTTTACTCTTTCAAATACGCTTGTGACGCCTCTTACGGCTGTCCGGGATTAAGGAGCCTTGCACACAATAATTAGGCCAAGAAGGGAACATATTATTAAAAAAAGGCTATCTCAACACCCTACTGCTGGTAGCGAGTAAATCCAGACATGGCTTTGAAAACTTTTTATCCTCTCCGACAAAAATGCACGGATAATCAATTAGACAGTTTAGTGACAGCCGATCAGGATAATGACTTTGATCCTTATTATCTACTCCCCGAAACGTTTAACTTAGTCACTCCAAACTCTGTGTTCCTTTATTCATGACAGCCGAGTGCTCATTAGTTCAATGTTGCTTTCCCGTATACCATGCGAGACCCATTTTACATTTTTCGTCTTGAAATAAGGAACACAACTTATCAAACACTTCGTGTACTTTTGTTTTGGGCAATTAACTCCCTAATCTGTTCGTCGGTTTAGAGCAACTGACGACTATGTATACCGTTAGGTGGACAGGTTATTTTCTGTGGCTGACCGAAACACCAACCTTGATTATCCTTTGTCGAAATGTAACGCGGCACATTCGTCAGAAAACTTCACAAAAAAACTTGCTTTTTGTTTATGTATAATCATTTAGCTAGATGATGCAATCAACGGAAAAAATTACCATAAAGTAACATAGTGAAGATCAAAAGGTTTCATGACTCCGTGTCACTCTATCGAAAGCGCATATGCTGACTCCTACATAGAACTAGACACTTTTTTGAGAAGAGATTGATATACAAACTGCAAGTAATGAAGAGAACCTTGCTAAAAAAAGTTGGCCCGAGAAATTGATCGACCGAAATCGGACTGAACATAATAGATCAGCGAAACTCACCACACGGAGAATGCCTTGTTTATCAAACGTAAATAAGTCACCTCACCTGTGATTGTCAAGCCAATGCAAGTACTCTGCTGTTGCGACTTACATAGATCGATTGATAATGCAGTTATCTTAACACATCAGAGAACCCAACTTGCTCTGGCTTACATATCGTTGGATTAAGGCTGCTTCAATCTCGGTTTTTGTGCAGTTCGTGAAGCTGAGAAATTCATCTGACTTGCTTTGACCTTCGTAACCATTTGTCGAGTCTTGCCACACCTCTTGATAACAATAAGGTTTTGAACGTTACTAACGGCTGAGGCGATTAGCATCCGTCTCATGGAAGTTGAATCAAGCTTTCAAGCTCCTTCGATCGAAGACTAAGCCGATCGTACATACGATAATTACGTGAGATATTTTATTTTAACCACGTTTCCCGAGCACTGTACTCATTTAGAGTAGCTTTTACTCATGATGACACCCGAACCATCTCCATTTTGTTCGAACTAAGGCAATTTGGCTTCACTTAAATGTGATAGTGCATGCTTAGAAATAAATTCACTGAAACCTTATGCTTACCTGTAGACACATTGAAAAAGAATAAATAGACATTGAATCTCAAAGAACCACTACCGAAATATAAATTTATGGTACAAATATTATTTGAAAACGTCTATTACCATAGACAGATGGGGCCGCAACGGACTCACCTTTAAGGCCTGCTTCCTTTCATACTTTTGGCAGAATTAGAGACGGAAGCGTTAAAAACAACTTTCAAATCAATTTGATCACTATATTGTTCCATGGATGACATATTTTGTGACCAACGATAAATATGACCACAAAGTTGTAGCAAACTTTGATATGGCTCAATCAGCGGTGCATTTAGAGCTGGAACAAATAGTGCACATTCTTATTTATTTGGTCGGGCGTTTGGATAGATCTGTTCGGAAGAATAGTGACCCCGACTGACAAGAACACAAACTTTTGTTGTTTCTTGCCACTTACATATAAATGGGATCCAATAATTTATGCCGTATACATAGAGCCAAATTCATCTGCCCTAAAGAAGTTTTAGTGACATAGCTATATTTGCTATGACGGACACTCAAATTTTTCGCGGGAAACTGAACTGAAAGAACAAACGAGTAAAATCGGCATGACTTTGAATGAACATATATTCTAAGGGAACTCAGTTTCTGAAGCTGCCATAACAACTGTCATTATCAAAAAACTTAGATTCATATTCTAAACATTGTCGTGTAATGTCTTGCTGACCCCTGCTATACTAATTTATCAACTCAAACGCACTCAGGATAGCAACAGTGTGAGTCCACCAATAGGGAATTTGTCATAGCATACCTGTGAGCATCAGTCGCATCGACTAGGACTGCGATCCAGTGATGAGATTATCCAAGATTATGACAATCTTGGCTCCGTATCATGTGATTGCGTTCTGACCCTTATCCCTCCGTCGTCTCACTTAGATGGCTCAGACTGAATGACCCTATTGCTTACGCTAAATTGCATCTCTATTGTTTCTAATACACAAGTGGTAATGATGGCGTGAGAGTTAATTCATCACAAACATGTTCCTTCACCGTTGATGTTAAAACTTCAAAAGCTCGAAATATATACCTGATACATCCTATAAATACATTTGACATTTTGCCCAATTGTTCGTTAGTTCATCTGGCCTGAGCTGACATACACGTATTACCGAAACCAAAACACAAAATGAAATCTCATAAAACAGGCCACAACATACAAGCCACTTGGTGTTTCTCGACTTGAAGTTTTCAAATGGTGCACGATTTTTTTAATGTCACGGCTACCTGTTTTGGCGAACCTGTCACAATGAACCTCACACCCGAGGTATGGCGGTACTTTGTGGCTCATCTGTTCTGTCAATAACAGCATGTCGTGAAGAGTATTGTTCGTGTATACTTAGGTCACACCTCGCTGGTTGCGTTGCATTTATCCTAGTTTACCTGTTCTAAGCAAACTTCGCGATGCACTTGTCCACCATGAACAACCGCAGTCGTGTGGTGATTAGCAGTCGGGTGAGTCTAGATGGAACTCTGATAGTCTAATCGCAATAGAAAGACTTCGAAACGGTATAAAGCTCGGTTCTTTACAGTGTCCGCTAAAATTTTCAGAACTGTGCATATCGGTTTTTAATTGGAATACAAACCCCGAAAATCAAGGTGACTCGCCTATGGTTTTCTGCTTTAAAATAATTTATTGAGCATATATTCTTGAATTAAAAACTACTTGAGGGCCCAGTATGAGATGCCTACGAAGTGATGCATTCTATAAGATCGCGCCCTCATAAATTGAAGGTCTTGAAATTTGCACATATATATCAACTAATAAAGAATGTATTAGTCTTTTTTCTCATCTTCGAAACATCATAGTTTTCTGAAGGGAATATCTTCTACCTTCATCCTTCTAACTCTTTGTAATGTATCCTTACCATTTCCTATCTAGGGTGCCCGAAAGATCTGTCTACTTTTGGCATCTTTTATTGGCTTTAATCGCACCCTAGTAACCACCTCAGAGTGATTGGGAGTATCGATCTTCACTGTATTATTCTTTGCATCTTTCCAGCTGTGTCCATATTGGGGAAACATTTTTCAAATTAGAATTCTCAGACATTAACTCTATCGTCTCGTTTCTCAGTGAATTGTATCATTGGTGCTCCGTTGCTTCTGTGATTTTACAAGCATTATTAAACAAGGGTTTTCAATCATTGCGTCGATATATGACTCTAACGATTCCGCTAACTATTTATGTTATTTAAATATCTTTTGACTACTTTTTTATTTATTAATTATAGGAATGTTCAATAAAATTTCTAGAAAGGAGCTGTCTGGAGAATTTAGAGCGGAAAGATGGGTGGTCGTGGTTGGGTTAGCACTCAGGACCTACAGGTGTTCATTTTGACGACCTTAGTACTCGATCACCACAATCTGCTGAACACAATATGTGATTTGGAAGCCAATGCCTGCAAAACATTTCTCTTTGAAAACTCTTCACGACGATTTCCGTTAATGCCACTCCAACTCCAGAACTCCCTCTCAGTGCCGTATTCTTCTCGCCAGGATAGACTCGCAAAGATATCTTCCAGTGTTCTAGCTCTTTTGTATACTGTTGAACGAAGTTCTGGTTGCCGACCAGTTTCTTTCACGCAGATGTAATTAGCTGCACGAGCTTGGAGATGTAATTGCGATTCCCCGATATTTTAGTGCTAGCACTTAAAGTATTCCTAAATAAACTTAATCGGATTTTCCAGTTTCGGAAAGCACGGTGGACACTATCTAATTATTTGGAATTCTCATGTGCCTCTGAACTGCAAATGTAATAATGAAGACTGTTGCGGTCAGGCGGTTGTTTTGAGTTTCGTTCATTAAATGCAAAATGAGCATGTGGAACCACTCCATCCNAGTGTCAGAAGCTATTTTATGCTGACCAACTTTCTGTAGTATTCAGCTTAGTCATATGCTTCTTTAAATATAACCACTAAGCCCGTGTTATAATTACAAGATCTGAAAATATACAGACAATTCCGTATAGACAAGCGAAGTTCATGGCACTTTGTAACACGAATTAATTCAAATGAACGGAGAGTTTATTCCGTAGGTCGCCAGCTGTGATAAAAACAAATATCACTTCCAAAATTCTAGTTCAATCAAACTAGAAAAAGAAATAGAACAGATTAAATATCTCGTGACTCAGCATTCTCCTCTAATTAGTTTTTCGATCCCCTTTCTTCTAACTAAAAAATGGTTCACAGTAATAGAACAAATACAGAAGATTCATTGTACTGTATATACATATATATATATATATATATACCTTCCATGCTCGTCTGGGTTGAGGGCATAAATGGGATACAGATGTTTTATGATTGCGCTTTATGACACGCCTCGCTGATACCGTATTTTGCAAACTGCATAAATCATTTCCCCAGATATCATAACCAGAGGCATTGTTATGCTTATTTTGCTCTCGTCCTTACCATTGTCAGATTGCTCTTATCGTGTACCTGGCTCACATCGGTAGTTTTGTTCCAGCCGAAGCAGCTGTGTTGGGACCGACTGACGCAATTTATACATTGACGAGTTCCGGAACAAGTAGCACCGGACGCTCAGCACTTCAAGACGGTTTCAATCTAGCTTCTATGGCTATTCGGAACGTGACCAAACAGACCCTGATCCTGTTCGATGAGTTTGCGCAATCCATGGACCAGGTAATTAAAAAGAAACTAAATACCTTTGTTACTTCACCACACAGGTCCAAATATTTGGTCGTTTCCATGTAGATTACTCATGCTGTTATGTATCCTGATAACTTACACTTTAAGCATAAAACCTGCAAAGTGGATTTATCGATACGAGGAACAGTATTCAGTGGTTTCTAGACAATAATTATTCACCTTCCTTGGCGTGCATGTTCGTGAAACAATAGTTAAACACAAAAGACCTTGGATCTCTCTTACGCATTAGGGTTTTATTCTCCCATTATAAACTGAAAGTTCTGAACATCATTTAACCCTGTTTATCGTTCCAGCACCAGGTAACGGCGATCACTGTTGCCATCGTGGAGCACCTGTTAGAAGAAAACGAATGTCCGCATGTAATTATTTGCACACACAATTTTGAAATCCTGGATTTATTGCAGGAACGCCATGAGGTTCAGTTTGTGGTGAGTGATTATTAGCCATTTTAACTGACCTATTGCGCGCACCCTCACAGCTGCGAAATCCAGTTTCTTCCCATATATATATTTATATATCTTTTACACCTGCTTGAGAACAAGCATGGCGCCAATGAAAAACAATGATAATGAAGTTATGAAGGGGTGCAGAAAGATAAGATGAAAATGGGGAAAACAGAGAACACGGAGAACGAATGTATGAATGAAGGAATTTCTTGTAGTTTCACCGTACACTTTTTGAAGATTTTTTGTTATGGGGAACGGAGTTTCTCCAAACAAACCGCACAGCAATGGTGCCACTGACTCCTATTCCTGGCCATATCTCCCAGCGTCTCTAGCCATCGGCAATCCTCATCCTTTGGGCCCCAGCCTGGAAGGCGAGCTGCACCAACCGAACCCAATGCTGAGGCTAACTTCTTCATAGCTCTACGCCACGTCATGGGCTGACAGCCGCGAGCCTCTTCCAACCTTGCCCGGCACGTGCGAAGAAAGCACGGCGAGGTAGTCGATGGGCAGGCATACGCAAAACATGACCGAGCCATCAGAGGCGGTGTAGA